ATATAACAGCCAGTAAAGTAACTTAGTAAACAAAATAACTATATTAATATCTATAAAATATAGTAGCGGCTCATTACTGGACTCGGTTTATTTTATCTTGCATATAATTTCAGTTCGCAACCAACATGTGCATTCGAATGTGAATTTAAACGGGGACAGTGTATAATAATTTTAATTCATTTCCTAGATATTAGTAGGTTAGTCGTATTTAATAACGCATCGAAACTTCTCGCAAGTTTCTATATCCAATGGTGAGTAGTGATAAATAAACAAAGAAAGGACGTTTTGTACTTAAAAGTAAACATACGCAATCGCATATGCGTTGCCTACCTTCAATCGACGGAGGAGAGGATCCACAGAAAGAAAGTATTTTCCCTTTCCGTATATCCTCACATCCGGAAAATTCACTTCCACTTCCCATCCTTTCCTTGTAAGAAAGAGGGTGGGAAAGGAAAGACGACTAAAGGCCTCCAGGACTCACACTCATCAGACGAAACGCGGAATTGCTTCCACTTTACGCCTGTCTTCTGTGTGGTCGTGGTATTTTACCGGGCCAGCCGGGACAATCTATTGTCAGTGTTCATTTGCTAATTTGTCGAATTCCACTCAACTCAAAATTGTGAAATAAGATATTCAAAAGCAATCATCTTTAAATAAAATATAAACTTTGTTATCTGTTAACGACTAAGCTAAGTTTAGTTCTAAAATTAATAGTTTAAAGTAATAATTCAAATAACCGCGAAGATTAATCTTAATCTTGTTAAACATAACTCTGTGTGCTGTAACGTCGGTAATTTGAATTTAACGAGCCTAAAACATCTCGTCTACGCAACGCGAAATTATTCAGTACATTGTATTCAATGTTTGCATTATATTCTAAAATCTAAATAATATTTGTTATATAACTTTTATGTTGAAAATAAAACTATGTATATTGCAAATATATAATACTAATGTTTAAATGGATGTTTGTTAGAAGGTATAGACGTAGAACATAGTCTGGAAGAACACATTGGCAAGTTTATTTTTAATTCCGCGCGGATAGTCGCAGGCGACAATTAGTTATTATAATAAAAATAAGTACTTACTACTATTGCTGCTTATAAAGTACATAACGTTAATCTTCTCTGCTCAATATAATTGTAAAGAAAATTGTAAATTTGTAAATAAGTGTTTGTGTTTTGATATATAAAAACCTATGTATACAAGCTATGTATAGGCAATTGGTAATTCATCTAGCCTATTCCGTACCTCGAAAATCAAGCGGTGTAGTAAGCTGCACAATAGTTTATTAGTCACGACAAAGCCGTCAAGTTTTGTCAAAGGATTTAACTCCGGCTTCGCAGTCTGTGCGGTCGACAGTCCACATTATGAAGTCTAGTCAAAGAGACGGTGTTAACTGCTACGGGTAACGATTCAAACGAAGAGATAAATGTCAACATAAAAGTACTTCATTTCATTTGTATTAAGGCAATGGTTTGCAGTTAGTGTTCGTAAAGGATGACCTTGTTATGCCCTTGTGAATTTTATAAAATATATAAAAGGAAAAAGAATGCCCCGGGTGAGGATCGAACTCACGACCTTAAGATTATGAGACTTACGCGCTGCCTACTGCGCTACCGAGGCTCTGTATTTCCTCTGCAATACGCATAGATGCTTCTTAAATAAATGAATAGATACATTATTAAGTTCATACAATAAAACAGTGTACATTTTTTTTTCTACGCAGATAAAAAAACTCTGTAGAGTGCAGAACGTATCCGAACTCTTCGGTGGATATAGATTAATAATCTGCCAAAGAGGTGGCATACTGGCAAGAACCTTTGCCTTTTTAATTATGGAAAAAAAACAAGAGAGATATTTGCGGTAAGTCGATAAGTTGACAACAAGGTGTAGTCGTGAACAGAATCATAAGTTTTATGATAACGTTTTAATAATGAAATAAAATGTTTTTAAATTATACAACCTCCTTGTATATCGAACGAGTAAATATTATTGTAGTAAAAGTCGTACAAATAAAACTCACATACCTATAATGATTGATATATATTATCTCACATCACTTACGACTGTCTTATCAGTAACTTTCCTAATACCTTATACTTACAATCTCTTACGGTCTGTCATTATTCCTTAGCCAGCAATTGTGAAAATGTTCTTTGAAAGTTTCCTCTAACTCTAACGCGTGCAATTTCTTAACTTCTTCGTTCAACTTATGTCGTAGTATACGCGCCAATTTGAATTTTCGCTTGCTTGAAAAATTTGGCACGAATTTTACCAAAATTATATTTAAGTTATAAGCATGCATATTTTCATGTTAACTTCTTTGGTCAAATAGTTCTACTTTACAATATTTGAAGCTTATTAAAAATAATAAAACACCTCCGGCTGTAGAATGTCATGACGCAAGCAACCAGTAGTCTACTGTAGAGAAAGGAACCTACTTACTAAGCGCGGGGTTACTAAAAAACAGCCTTTTGTTTTGGGACTTTAATTCAACTGTTTGGCGAAAACTTCTTAAGGTGCTTAATTTATTGGTTAGACAATTATTTGGTTATAACAATGAAAAAAAAATCTTCATAAAATTCCAAAATCAATAGAGTTAAGTTTATGATACGAGGCCATTTTTGGTATTAACTGTCGCACTCTAAATCCATTATGAGTGACTAAGGTAAGACCTTAGTATTTAATAAGTATGAGTGATCTTTACTAAGGGATGCTTTAAATAATTGAGCACAGCTTTTAGTTTAAGTTAAATTTAAAATGAAACAGGGTATTTCTGAAGTGTACTCTACCATGCAAACAGGAACAAACTTCTGTTTTAAGAGTACTTTAACAGTTAGAAGAGTCTTACCATTGTACTTGATATAATTTTACATTAGATCCGTATTGTTTGGATTGGTTGTGTTGAAGGTTTTTTTTAAACTGTCACACGGCAAAGTGGATAGTATAACAGCACGGTGTATATTATTACTAGCTTTTTTTTATATGATAAGGTGGCAAACGAGCGAGCGGCCACCTGAAATCGCAGAAATAGCGAAGTGACCGTTGCCCATAGACATACGCAATTGCATATGCGTTGCCTACCTTTCATCGACGGAGTAAAGGATTCACAGAAAGAAAACATTTCCATGCATCCTCTCATCCGGAAAATCCACTTCCACTTCCCATCCTTTCCTTATAATAAAAAGGGTAGGAAGGGAAAGAGGACTAAATTAGGCCTCCGGGACGCAAGCTTTTGCCGGTGATTGGATTATAAAAAAATAATAGCCTATGTGTTCTTCCAGACTACGGTCTATGGACTAAGATCAGTTAATCCGGTACGGAGATACCTTGTAACAAATAGCTATTCAAGTATATTTTGAAATTTGGCATAGATGTAGAACATATCCTGGAAGAAAACATAGACTACTGATTAAGTTATTTTTATTTCACGCGGACGAAGTCGCAAGACAGCTAGTATTAGGGTATTTGTGATATTATCTTCTTTATATATATAAAAGAAAGTCGTGTTAGTTACATTATTTATAACTCAAGAACGGCTTTACCGATATGGTTGAAAATTGGTGAGGAGGTAGCTTAGAGCCAGGAGACGGATATAGGATACTATTTATTCATTTTTTTTTCGAATTTATGCCTTGAAGAGCTGCCTCTTATTTAAATTACTAATATTATAAATGCGAATGTTTAGATGGATGTCATGTGGATGGATGGATGGGTGTTTGAAGATATCTCTAAAACTGCTAAACGGATCTCGATTACATTTGGCATTCGTGTAGAACATAGTATGAAAGATTAAATAGGCTACACTAATTAAGTTGTTTTATATATCCACGCATACGGAGTTACGGGCGACAGCTAGTTAAAAATAAAATATTCGCTCGTGCGAATAGCGCGTATCTTTTATGCAAAAGTATGTGAAACACTCAAAGGAATAACCTGTCAGATGTCACACAAACTCCAATAACTTTTCAATATGTTCTGACGATGGCCACAACACGTGAGAAAATTAATTAACTTATATAATCTGTTTTATAAATTAAAATTTTTAACGGCGTGAAAGGTTAATTCGATTTACACCCACTCATTGCGCACTTCATTTATCAAAGGAAACAACGGAGTACTTCATCACCAACGTTAATTAAGTATTGTGGAGCGGCGAATAGTATTACTAGGAAAATTCTGTTACCAGCAGAGTCAAACTACTTCAATTCGTCTGTTCACTAACTACTATTTATAAACTACTAGCTGTCACCCGCGACTCCGTCTAAATGGCATTAAAACAATATTAAATTCTTAGCCTATGTGAATGATACCTCATTTGTCAAAATAGTTCTGTGGGTCTACCACGAATATTCGTGACAATCATCTTGGTCAATAATGAATAATGAATGAATAGAATGAGATTTTTGGTGTACTTAAAGCCCGGGGATGCATAAACTTTAATAGAAATTTTGTCGATGACGATACTGATGATTGTCACAAGTATTCGTGCTAGGCTCACAGTTGTTTTAGTTACAGGCGGTCATAACTTTACACTTATGCATGATATTACGCCTTTTTGAATATTTTTTGAACAAAATTTGCTTTTTTATAATTACATATAATGTCCTTTTATCATCATATCCCTGGCTTTATCCAACTCATGTAGGCACGACGTAGTAGATTTTATAAACCTTAAATTTTGGTTTACTTGGAAGAACAAAAAAAAAATTAAACTACTAAAATTTAAGATGAAATCATTTTTCATAATTTCAAGTTCTAATAATCTAGATTAAGGGCAGATTTAAGTAATAAATTATCTCCTGTTCCATCATTCTTGTCCACTAAAATGAAAAGTTTTCAACAAAAGCTGATTGTCTTTACAAGAGATTTACAATTTTCCTCATTAACGTGCGCAATGAAAGTTAACAGAATTGTTTAAAAGCTTTTATAAAGTAAACGATGTCTTTAAGTAATATTTTCATTCTTTATTATCAATAACATTTTATAAAACCATGTTAGTTCCTGGACTTTGAACCTTTGTTAGGAGTCACTTGGTCATTCTGATTATGCGCGTATTAGTTGATTTCACACATATCTTTAAATTTCTTGTAGATATGTGCAGGTTGCATCACTGAACATATGAAAGTGGCTGTCGCCCGCGACTCTGTCAGCGCGGAATTAAAAAAAGTTATTAAGTAGTTTATGTGGTTTAGACTACGTTCTACGTTTATGCCAAATTTCAGCAAGATCCGTTCAGCTATGTCGGAGATACCTTCAAACAAACATCCATCCATCCATACATTCCTGTAATCATTTGAATTTATACTATTAGTAAGATATAGTCGAACCTGGACAAGCGTCTTAATGACTGTCATATTTTCTAGCCTATAGAGGTTTCTCTCTAAGCCGTATTTTTCGCTTTTGGTGGTCGTCAGAACCGAACAATGACTCTCTCTTTTACAGGTTTCTTAATATACTTAATACAAAATTGACATGAACTCTACTTGAATTATATGAAACATTCCAAGGAAAATAAAAATAACTTTTGAGAGTTTCTTTGAAACTCGAGTAAGGTATCATTAACCTAACCTAAAGTTCTAACAGCAAGCTTAACCATAGTCGCAATAACAGCCTACGTCGCTAGCCAACATGAATAGGCATAATGCTTAGTTGGGCCATAATCTTCAGTACCAACGTAAGCTAGTTAGTAACTCAACTTCATTCGTACGTTAGGGCCTATTTCCACTGGTGGGCGGGAACTGCTATATAAAATGCGGTCACGCGTGTCCAGCTGTATTGGAAAAACAATCTGACATTTACGTATAGTAAAAATATATATTAATCCAACATTCAAAAAAGACATTCCTCGAGTTGTCAATTTAACGTCTTATCTGACTAATATTACAGATATGTATGGATGGATGTTTCTTAGAAGGTATGTCTAGGACGACTTAACGGATCTCGGTGAAATTTGTCATAGATGTAGAACCCAGTCTCGAGGTACACACAGGCTACTAAGTTTTATTATGATTCCGCGCGAACGGAGTCGCGGGCTACAGCAAGTAAATTACGGCAACAACGACGACAAATAAATATGCACTGCTTGATAGTTAATCTAAGATAGAAACACAATAAACAAAAATATATCTGACGTAACTTTATTTTGTTCCAAATAACAGGATATTGAATTCTCCATACTAATTTTAACAGTGGTAGAGCCCGCTTTAACATCTTCGCACGAATTGGCCCGGCTCGTCCGGTGAAGTACCACGACCACACAGAAGACAGGCGTGAAGTAGAAGCAATTCTGCGTTTCGTCTGATGAGTGTGCGTCCCGGAGGCCTAATTTAGTCCTCTTTTCCTTCCCACCCTTTTTCTTATAAGGAAAGGATGGGAAGTGGAAGTGGACTTTCCGGATGAGAGGATGCATGGAAAGGGAAGATATTTTCTTTCTGTGCATCCTCTCCTCCGTCGATTTAAGGTAGGCAACGCATATGCAATTGTGTATGTCTACGGGCAACGGTCACTTCGCTATTTCAGCGATTTCAGGTGGCCGCTCGCTCGTTTGCCGCCTTATAATATAAAAAAAAACTAAGATGCTGGTCATGGAAATAGGACAGCGTTGGACTTAGAGTAACATAATAAAACACATAATCGTTCATTAATTTTATTATTTAACTATCATTAATAATTTATATTTAGAACTTAATGTAAACAGTTTTATATACAGATAAAATGATAAATTATCACGTAGGTAAAAATAATACTGAATATCCTATTATTAAAGTTATATAAATATTTAATGTATTCAATAAGGGTAAAGTTGTCGCAAACAAAATCAAAGTTTTTGATAATGTTAATGAATCATTAAATGTTATAAGTAATACTAAAGTTGTGATACTATTTGAAGGTAGTTGGATACGTTTAGCACCAGCGTGGAGTTCAGCAAGACTTTCTTCTGGAACAAAGGTGAATATTAGTGATGGAGACAAAATTGTACATCTAAACCACTGGTTTCCAAACTTATTTTGTCTGCTGCCCAATTTGAGAATATTTTTTTAGCGCTCCCATATTTTCAACTTCAAATTAAATTAATTAATTATTGTGACCTATGTATGTATATTAACGGAGAATTCTAAACGAAACTTTTACTATAACCGGCAACTTGAGACCTGCAGCGCGAACAAGGGGGCGTTATCGCCCACTTTCTGAAAGACTGATCTGAACCAACTGCTTGTATCCGGTTGAAGCCTCCAATAATAAATATCCTAACTTAGCATAAACCTACGTAACTCTTAAGCATTATAGGTACTCCAAAAGCTACAGTAAACTTTGCTGTAGCATTGTTAGTGTACAATAATACATTCCCTAGTTTAAATAGTCGTACGTGGTGAAAAGGAGTTTAAAGGTACTATCGCAAGACAAAGCAAATCCCCAACCAATGGACGCGTACCTTTAGTTCTTTAGTTACTCTCTTAAGCTTGATAAAAGAGTTGTTACAAAATAAATCTATTATTAGCTGACATTACTGAATTTTCTGCGTATTAGTTTTAGTATTTTCTACACATATTTATTCCTGGAATATTCTGATTGAGATACTCGTAGAATGGCAATCCTCGTGCTCGAGTTAGTGACCGAGTTAGAAGGAATGCACTAAGGATTAGTATTCAAGGCTGACCGCGGCAAAGTCACGGAAGCACAGAGCATTTCTAGGATGCCTATGTTGCGTGACCTAACTTTCATAACTAGCACCGGAAACTTTTAATGATCTCACTTTAACATAAAAATTCATATTTAACACACATAGAATCGAAATTAATAAAAAGGAAGAGAAAATACGTTATCTAGAAGGAACAGATAAAATTAAACGTAGTAAAAGTAAAAACAATGATTTTATCTCAACGTGGTTTTTAAATTGTGAATTTATTTTTCAAGTCTACTTTAAAGTGGACAATAGAAATGTTGGCTGTTGTTTTTATATTTGCCTCTTTGAATAAATCAAGTTGTCGCTAGACCGGCAATAAGAGATGCTAGAGTTTTTGTCGCACTATTCCAATGCTAATTTTACAGTCGCAGAGATTTTAAAGTGTTTGCAGTGAACACAACAAAGGACTAAGCTTGAGATATTTTTGTAAACTTTTTAATACAATGGACATAAATTTGTAGTTTAGAGGTTTTTAAATGAGCACTGATATCTGTAAACGGCTTCATAATTGACTAACAGGAAGAATTCTCTAAAGATGCTCGTCTGCCCCCTTCTGTTTTCTTAAACCTTGGGGTTAACTCCCAAGAATAAAGAATTCGTTGCCAATATTAGAGGAACAAAGAGAGAATAAAAATGAAAAGGATCGGACAATCATTAATGGTTCACGCTTGTAATTTTAGAGCCAACTTTTATAATTAAGTTTTATAAAGTAGCTACCGTGTTCGTTGAGCATTAGTTGAACGAATGATTGAACTAAAAGTGAATGATCTTTAATGTTTAATACCGTACCATTGAGCACATGTACGGCGACAGTGTGCGGTCGTGCGCCGCGTACTGCGCACGTGTAGTTGCCCGCGTCACTGCTATTGACACGTGCAAGTCGCAGCAGGCTGTCTGCACCGCCGGACACCTGTTCCGTCTTCACGCTGCAAACAAATATGTCTAGATGGTATAATACAATTTTAAAATAGAAATACTGGAGAAAATTGACCATTAATTTTTGAAATCAGAATTCATTACACACTACCAATTTTCCTTCTTAATAATGTAAATTTTTAGATGGATGGATGGTGTTTGTTTGAAGATAGCTCCGAAACGGTTGGACGGATCTCGATGAAATTTGGCATAAACATAGAACACAGTCTGGAAGAACACATAAGCTACTAATCATATTTTTTTTTAATTCCGCGCGGTTTCTTCTATACAAACAAAAGTCATGACACCAAAATTCTGACTGTATTTGTAGTTACTTTATCTGTATCATTTTCAAGCAATATTTAGCTAGCAAACTCTTCACTAATAAATCCAGTTAATTAAGTCCATCTTACATGTCCCCTTACCGTACAAAGAATGCTACATACAAAGAGGTATCTTACACTTAAGGTAGTTAACAAAGCAAACTTAAGATACCTGATGCCGCCTCTCGTAGTGTCGGCGTTGAGAGCTCTGCCCTCATGTATCCAGGTCAGCACAGTTGGTGTGTCGACATGTCTCGCACGACACACTAGCGCTAACGTCGACTCCGCTTCGTAGTACTTCTCAGACAGCGGCGCGCCGGCCTCGTCCACTACCCACACTTGTGGAGCTAAGTACCGAGATCAGTTTTAACTTTACTGAATATCCAAATGAAAAATCTGGAGAATATAGGTGACAAGATGAGAACGGATTTTAGACTATCGGTAACAAATTTCTACACAATTGACGGGCGTTTAGCAATATAAGAGTAAACATCGTTAACAGAAATTTAAAATTATTTTAATTTCATATTCAAGTGTAATAGCTCTTAGACATAATAGTCTTAAATTGGACTATGAGACATCTCATTTTATTATCTTACTAATATTATAAATGCGAATTGGATGGATAGTTGTTTGTTGGAAGGTTTCTCCAGAACAGCTGCATGGATCTCGCTGAAATTTGGAATATATGGACATAGCATGGAAGAGCTAAGTTTTATTTAAATCCGCTCAGACAGAGTCGCGGGAGACCGCTAAAGGGTACAAAATTATTAAGTGTAAACGTGTTTAAACAGGTTCTAAAATCCATAAAAATAAGTATTATGTATCAAAAGATCTTACTATTAACATGCAAGTAAATTCTGCTGACTCTAGGCGGATGTGTTGATATTTGACATTCATATATGCCCTCGTCATCAGGTTTGACCTCTTTGATGAGTAGCCTCCAATTGCCAGGATATCGCTTAGCGACCGTGACACGATTATCCGCTGCATACGTCACTGCACCCACAGTAAGCAGTTCCGGTAATTCTTCTTTACCTCTTCGACGTACCCAAGATACCTACAATTAAAAAGTTTTCATTATTATATCTAATATGTACTTAGCTGTTAATTTTATCTAATTTTAATTCATACGTGAGACAGAAGAAAAAATAAATTTATCGTTCTTAACTGATATATAACTGGTGGCGGCACCGACTAGTTTCAAGCCCTTCATCAGGATGGGTGGTACTGGTATTATTTCGCGGACGCGGCCCGTGAGTGGACGAATATACGTGAGTGTTTAGCCGTGTTTATATATCAGTTTAGTATAATGTCTCACAAAAGTTTGAATAATTTATCATTCTTATTTGTCTCAAGATTACAAACTGCTTGCTTAGACATAATATTATAGAACTTTATATGTTACAAATGTAGCTTCAGAAATTGCTATGAAAAATAATCAACGGTACATTGCCTGCAGTAAATACTCATCAAATATGTAAGCGCAATATATCTTTGCAAGGTCAGTGGAAGCCGATCCGAAAGAACTGGGTCGGCGACGATTCGAGCCGCAAGCCTTTTAAAAATCATACGTGTAATGGAGAAACCGAGCTTTTTATGTATCAGAAATAATTATTTTCGTACGCCACATTTATACTACGAATATCGTGACATAATAACAACGACATTTTTTTTAATTCTGCATTTCGTTTTATTAATCCTCTTTCCCATCTTATCTGGTTAAAGAATGGATAGAGGAAGTGGATATGTTCATATCCATATGGATATGAATAGGTCGGGATGGATACGGAAGTAGATATCCTTCTTTATCATGCAAATAAAACGATAAAAAATCAATTTGTTAACTCGTTCACGTACCCGACACGTCTTGCCGGTCCAAAGGTCTAACATCGACTGACGTCCCCTCTCTCCGGCATGTACTTATGGCGTGTACACTCGAGACAAACAACACTACGTTTATGCATACACTACACTTACCGTTTTATCCTGTAAAAGACTAATTCTACAATTCAAATAAGCGTCTTCACCGAGTTGAACAGTAATTTTAGTTACATTCCCTTTCGGTGTGTCTTCAAAATTTGGTCCATATTTTCTATCATGGTCAAAGTATGTGTTCTTAGCTGATACTACATGTGGTACCATATCAAGTATCAAGTTTGGTTGGTTCGTTATTGTTCTTCCTGAGTCTGTGACGTCAGATGTAGGTTGGGGGACTTTGAAGGATTTCGTACTATCTATTGTTGAGTTGCCCAGTTTTAGCATAACCGGTGCTGGGACCACGCCTGTACTTAGTACGTAGAATGAAGACACCGTATTGCTTTCAGTCGTTGTCGGATCTGTGGAAATAAATCTGATAGAGAATTCAACACTAAAGTATACTCTATGAACAAATCAATCAATTCAATTTATGTTTTTACAAATACGTTTAATGCGTGCTTGAGTTGCAATTCTTATCCATGTTCCTTTCCCAATCTTTTTTTCTAATTAAACATGGGAAGGAGAAGAATTTAGTGGAGGAAGGGAACGCATAGCAGGAGAAATATCCTCTCTATGTACATCCCATCCTCCGTCGATTAGACAACGCTTATTTATGGGCGGCGGTCGCTTTGTTATTACGGCGAATTCAGGTTGCTGCTTGCTTGTTTGCCAACTTATAATAAAAAATCATCAGAGTTAATATTTGATCGTTGATTTATTTATCTATAGAGAGAAATGAGTAATATTTGCAGAAACAGCGATCAATTGATTCTTTAGTAAAAGAATACTATACTTTGAACTTCTAATTACAAATTAAAATTAATATATTATAATAAAAGCTAAGCAGAGGAGACTAAAAACTAATTTCTCATACGATGTTCTTTTACTTGCCAAAATTAATTAAAGCTGCACGAGATGCTGACAAGGGTGGGCTTATTACAACTGCGGTCCACATTAATTTGAGTTACAAGATATGCTTACAAAATTGTACCTTTAGTTAGCTTAGATGTTAATTAGTTGACAAAATAAAGACTGAATATTATTTCTTTGTCAAATCTTTAATATTTAGTTGTTATTGTGAGGTTGATAAACCGTTGGTTTCTGAGACCAAAATCTCTATACAAAACATGTCGTCCCTGTCATTATCTTTGACAAAATTGAAATAGCAATATGTTTTGAAAATTTCGGTCTCAGAAACCCACTATATACGGTTATAACTTCACTTGAATATATATAATTGTTTACCTGTAGCGAATTGACATACGCCTATCTGTGTAAGAAGGAATATGCCCACACTCCACAACATAGCGCCTGAATAAGGCCGCGCCTCGCTCGGCCTCTCATAATCTGGAAATAAAAACATATAATAGTGACAAAGTCCCCAACAACATTGGTTGCACAAATGGCGCTTTATTGATGCAATACCACGACCACATAGAACACAGGTGTGAAATCCACGTTCCGAAGTGTTCGTGCCAGAGTATAAATTCTAGTTTTCTTCCCTACTAAGGAAAGGATGGTAAGGAAGTGGATTAAGTATAATCATCATCAGCTCACACCAATGAGAGATTTGGAGCCTACCCTAAATTAGGGGTGACTAGGTTATAGTCAACCACGCTGACCCAGTGCGGGTTGTTTGACATCACATATGTCTTTGATTTTCTTCGCAGATATGTGCAGGTTGCATCACGATGTTATCTTTCACGGTAAGAACGTCGGATAAATGTACATATGTAAATCGAAAAACACATTGGTACATGGATTCGAACCCAGGACCTTCATATTTCAAGTTAAATGAGCCATCGACCCTCATCCCCAAGTATAATACTAATATTATCGTAATAATTCTAATAAAGTCTCCTTTTCCATAAAATTCACGGCTTCATTCTTTATTCAGACTCTTTTATCAAAAAATCCGTTTCAAAGCTGAATAATCAGCCTATAATTACAAGTTTTAATACGAGCTCGAATATAAGATTTCTAATTGCCTTTACTTTGAGCGCTTCGTTGAATTCCCGGCGTCTTTTTTTGCCCTTTCTCGAGCAATGCAATTAACGTATAAAGAGAACTGAACAAATGATAGAAGTTATGGCGTTGAAAGGAATTTGACCCTTCTGTTCTTTTAGTAGATCTGTGTATTAAGTACCATACTATTAATGATACCTTTCATAGATTTAAAGTTAAGAAAAACATAGATGTTACTAGCCAATTGTAAATTACGTCAATTACTAACTGTACTAATTCAAGTATTATGTGTCGAAAAATTGCAGATTTTATAACTGTATAAAGCATTATATAATTTATAAGAAAGAAATAAATAATTTATCTATATTAACAAAATATGAGGGAAAATATTTTGACGTTTCTTGTTCCGGGTTATATAAATATATATAAGATAATTATTTTGTTTAGCTTTTTAGTTATATAATTTATCCAGAGATGTTGAGACGGAGCGATAATCTTAGTTCTAACTAATATTATAAATGCGAAAGTTTAGATGGTTGTTCGTTAGAACGTATCTTCATAACGACTGCATGCAACTCGCTGAAATTTGACATAGATGTAGAACATAGTCTGGAAGAACACATAGGCTACTTATTAAGTTTGTTTTTAATTCCACGTAGCCAGAGTCACGGGCGACAGCTAGTTTCATTCATATCTTTAAATATAGCTACATTTTATAATAAGTTGTTGTATGTAGTACTTAGGAAAAACTGTGAGTAGGAAATGTTCTACGACTAAAATAAAATACGGCCTCTTTACAGATTGTATATTAGAGTCACGTACCAAGTTGGTATTAAGTTGTCCATTAAGTTAAAACGCGGGCTCATTCCACTCAATAATAAACTTGATTTCTGCTTAACGCTGCTACGACTTTTTCAACAACTTGCAGGAAATATTTTTTTTGAGTATTGTATTTATTTAGAAATATTTATTTACAACTTTGTATATTAAAAAGTATTTAAAGGTTATTTTCCTTTTGTAGAAATATTCTTTATTTTATCTTATTTTAAAAATTACATTAAGTTCTTGAGATTTGTGTATGATTTTTTTATCTTTTGTTTTTCTGTAATTATGGAAAATGTACTAAAATAAGGTTCTTCATAGAACATATTGTGATCTTTATTTATTGAGAATAAAACAAAACACAAATGCCAATAAGTTTTTTTATTGCCAAAAAAAACACGACGTAATATTTTCTAAAATCATAATTTTGAAATGTTCATAAAAAATTATTTTCCGGATAGTGTTCCAAAATAATTTCCTACAAATTTTATTTCTATTTCATCTGCAAATGGGTAATTGCGACTTCGTGTTTTGGTGTACGCAACACGAATAGTTATGAGGTAAGGAAATAAAACGCTGCCGCAAAATTATTTAGGCTAGAATTCAGTTATTATGTGCCTGTTATGCGTCGGAGCATTATATGGTAGGTTGAGGTATTTAGGTCACATAGCTTGCTTGAATAATACATTTAAATAAATATATTGATATACATTACAAGGCTATTTAACATACAATTATCAAAAAAAGAAAAAAGTTACTAAGAAAGTCAAATAATTGTAAATTAAAATTTTGTTCGAAAGATTTTTGTAGTCGAGATTGCTATGTAAAGATTGGTAATGAGATATAATATATATTATAATAAATTGTTTTTAAGCTAATTTTATAGTTAATTAATTAAAAACTGGATAAGCATACGGTAAACTTACTTCTTACTTATATTATAAATCGGTATGTTTATATGGATGGATGTTTGTTTGTTAAATAATATCTCCAGAACCACTGACCGGATCTTGATGAAATTTGGCACAGATAAACAACATGGTTTGGAAGAACACATAGGCTACTAATTTTTATTTAAATCCGCGCAAATGAAGTCACAGGCGGCAGCTAAAATCAAACAATATAAAAATTATTTCCAAGCAAAACTAAGCAATCCAATGCGATATTCCTTGTATCTATAATAATATGTACATATTAAATTTACGCTTAGTTTACATTCAGCTTTGAACGCGTCGTGGTCAGCTGTGGTCGGAATCTTATTTACATAACAAATTTCAATGAAAATTTTAACGTAGTAAAAGATAAAATGTATAACAAGACTGGCTGTGCACAGCGACTCCGTCCGGGTGTTATTAAAATTCTTACGGTGAAGGAAAACATCGTGATGCAACCTGCACATATCTGAGAAATTCAAAGATATGTGTGAAGCCAACCAACCCGCACTTGGCCAGCGTGGTTGACTATGGCCTAGTCACCCCTAACTTAGTAGGCTCCCAGCCCCTCAGTGGAGACGTATAGTGAGCTGAATATTATGTTCTTCCAGGCTATGTTTTATATGTATCTCAAAATTCATCGAGATCCGTTCAGCAATTCAGGAGATACCTTCAAACAAACATCCATCCATCCATTTAAACATTCGCATTTACAATATTAGTTAGAAATACATTCTTTGTAGTCGATTTATTAGTGAATAAATAACTAAGCGTATATACAGCATGTTCAAACAGATATCGAATACATTGTAAAAACGGAAACGCAAGTAAAAGAAAACAAAGCCATCGCTAGTAAACTGGTAGCAACCGGAAATTTAATACTAGACTTTTATTTTCTTTGTTTCAATTTTAACAAGCCAATGTTTGTTATTGTACTAACTTTCCTATGTTGTAATCTGTACAGAAAAGATGGAACGTAAAGAATTAGTTCAGAAACTTACCATAGCAACATTTACATATTGTCAAACAAGGATATCTTACCCGTTGAGAGGCGCGTCTATTGTGGTTAGTTCTGTTAAAAAAATATAAAAGATGGGAAGTGGAAGTGGACTTTCCGGATAAGAGGATGCATGGGAAGGGAAAATATTTTCTTTCTGTACAGAAAGAAAATATTGCCGTGATGGGAGATGTACATCTCCTCCGTCGGTTAAAGGTAGGCAACGCATATGCAATTGCGTATGTCTATGGGCAACGGTCACTTCGCTATTTCAGTGATTTCAGCTCGCTCGTTTGTCACCTTATAATATTAAAAATATATAAAAGCTACATGGGCATACAAAACATAAAAGAAGAGAACACGACAGTTACAGTAAAATGGGTCCTAATTTTATTATACTTTTTGATATTGACAGGGTGGCGCTAGTAAGCTGTTATATTTTGTTTTACTTATGCCCACGGGTCGAGATATCCTTGTAGGTCTATACTAATTGGGAAACTAAATAATGTTGCACAATTAATATTTTTATTTCTCTTTTTTCTTTGGAAAATGAGAGAGATGACACTATGTTTTTTTTGAGTACAGTAGTATAAACCAACCAATTTTATCTATCTATTTTTGGATATGTAAATATTAGATCACCCTAATTTAGTAGGCGTTACGAAAACCTTTTCGATTCCGGACTTAACGAATAATGTGGGAATATTTTTACCACGTAACAGCTGGATACTTGTAATAATTTTAATATGAATTAAAAAATAAGATTTATTTTTTAAAGTGGACATTAAAATTGGTATTATAGATATTTAAAAGATATTTTGTTCTCGTTACTTTAATTTTGTTACCGAAAAATAGAGGTATAACACTTGAGAATGAAAAATACTGCAATATTTAAGCGTCTATAGTCTAATGGTTAAGAGTACGGATTTTCAATCACGTGGTCGGGGGCTCGAATCACGCAATTCGACTATTGTCGTAAACCATATCCTAGCACAAGCCTAGAGCTTCGTTGGAATGGTAAAAGAAATATTAGTAAATTTATTAAAAAAAATTGCTATTATTTAACAAAAAAAATGCTTCGAATAACTAGATCGACCTAGGCTCATATACTGGAGTGAGTAAGCGAACGCTTATTTAAGTCGTTCCCTATCCACCCTTTCTTATAAAGAAAGTATGAAAAGGGAAAGACGGCTAAGTAGTGGATTTCTCTTTCTGTCCGTCTCCTCCCCTGACGATTAAATATACGTAGCATAAGCGACCGCTGCAATTGCGGATGTCTATGGGTCAGCGGTCGCTTCGCTATTTCGGCGAATCCAGGTGGCCGCTTGCTCATTTACCGCCTTAAAAGATGGATGGCTTATTAGGATACACTTTATAATACAGTTTTTTTCGGTTAAATTAAAAAATAAAAAGAGAAACATCGAGATAATTTTTGAATTGTTTCCCAAAACATTTTTGGTCGTGTCACAAGTTTCCTAAAACTTGAACGACGCGACTTTAAAGAGAAAAGTTTGAAACAGAAGTTTGTTTTAAATACAAATGGTTATTTGCTTTAACAACGTACAAAGTCGTAAAGTTTTGGGACGTAACTAGTAGCCTGTACGTCGGAATGTTTAGAATATAAACCGCAG